CATCCCCCACCTGCCCATGCACCCACGCCCTTGTCAATGTGCGTATACCTATGTGTGATGAAGGTATAATCAGCTATCAGAAATTTGCTCCTCATACATGCACAGGCACATTGCATTGCACACAAGCACACACAATGGCATAGCCACAACACACGTGCCCGCGCGTGCACACACACAAGTGATGGTGGGGACCACTGTCTAACTTCGGAATTCATTTTTCCCCATTCTGTTCAGCTCTCGACAGTTATGGTGTAGCGCGCCCCCCCCCCCCCCCCCCCCCCCCCCCCCCCCCCCCCCCCCCCCCTCGTAGAGGGTTAAGGAGTGCAAGTGTGCTTTTGCAAATGTGTGTGTAGGTACATCTCTCCTTCACCACAAAACACAACTGTGGGGAGCCTAGCACTTGACAAAGCCAGTATTACATTTGCTGCCTTTGACTTCCATTTGCAGCATAAGCATGCAGTAATGTGCGACAGCACAAACCCATGCATCCCTTTGTTGCACGTTGCTGCATGCCTATGCTGCAAATGGAAACCGAAGGCAGCAAATATAACACTGGCCCTTTGTCAAGTGCTAGGCTCCCCTTAATTGTGCTTTGTGGTCAAGGAAGAAGTACCCACACACATTTGCAAAAGCACACTTGCACTCAGTAACGCAGCTGCATGCACATCCACAAACACACAAGCATGCAATCTGCATGTGCATGTGTGCACGCATGCATGTGCATCTGTGTGCACGCATGCATGTGCATATGTGTGCAGGCATGCATGCACATGTGTACACGCATGCATGCATGCACACCTGTGTGCATGCGTGCATGTGCGTCTGTGTGCACGCATGCGTGGGCATCTGTGTGCACGCATGCATGCTGGTATACACAGATTATCTGCATGCAATCTGCATGTGCATGTGTTCACGCATGCATGTGCATCTGTGTGCAGGCATGCATGCACATCTGTGTACACCCATGCATGCACACCTGTGTGCATGCGTGCATGGGCGTCTGTGTGCACGCATGCATGGGCATCTGTGTGCACGCATGCATGCATATTTGTGTGCACGCATGCGCGTGTGGGGAAGTGTGTTAACATACTTGCACGGGCATTTGTGTGTGGCACGGTGCAAAATAATGGAAATTACAGGGGCACCAGACAAAATTTTCCCTTTTTTTTATAAACGGAACATATCTTTTTCCGTTCACAACCTACCACGACTCCTAAGTTTATACAGGGGACCCCTGCAAGCATAGCTTCTTCTTTTTTTTTTTTAATTATTATTATTTTACACCAAAAGGAGTCTTTCCATTACAAGCTGGGAATCGGGCCCAGCGTCCCTCACATGAATGGCTACGGCGCACAGGGATAAGCCTGGCTCACCGGCCAGGCATAACCCCAGCCATAGCAAAAATCTCACCGCTATCACAATCCTGCAATGGATAGCTCCAACCCTACTGCACATCCAGCAGCACAGCCCAAACCTACATATCAATGCAAACCTCAGCATTGTAAACAGAGAAGGAACACTAATTAAACTCCCAATTCTCGACTCACGCACTCATCCCAAGCCGATCACCAACCCTAACTACACCCAACGAAAAACCACACCCCAGCCATACAATCTCCCAGCTAAAACCCACCTTAATCATCACAAATAGCCGTGCAAAAAAACAAAAACCGTCACCAGTATTCGAAGGTTATCAACTGATTAACCCTAATAATTGCAAAAACATAAAAAATGAAAAGGTCACAAGCAACACCACGCCCGAAGTAGGAATCGTAGCGACATTAATCAATGCTGATAGCAGCTTGAAGTCCGTTGTCAACGACGGTGGGCGACACCGCTCACGAATTCAATTGACGCTCTCCCAGAAGCTGGCGCTCTTTGATGCACACGTGGTTCTCATCTCCCTATGTCGATTTGTCTCCGTATCAAAGCCAGGGGGGCAAAGCCCCTGACAGGTTCCATATACTGATATATACGGCGCCCAGATCCCGCCCTTTGGACCACCACACATCTCCCTCCTTCCACTTGTGGTCTCGCCAGGAATGCCAACCAACCGGGACCAGGATATGGCAGAAGCATGTCAGTGCTTCCCCAAGGTGATCCCCAGCTTGCTCCCACGCACCTCTTCTCCCCTATAGCCCTCGCCACCCCAACCCTGGGATTTGGCACTGCGCAGCACTTGTTGCAGCTGCGCTGACGCAATCCCCCAAAGCCCAGACGCACACACGCGCCCCTTCTCCCCTATCGCCATCGCCACCCCAAGCCTAGGATTTGGCACTGCGCAGCGCTTGTGCGATCCCCCAAAAGCCCAGGCGCACACTGTGGTTAAAAATTCAGGAGTGAGTGCTAGCACTCGAGTGTTCGCAGCCCGTCAGGGGTGCGTTTTATGCCCCTGAGAAATTTCGTCGTCSTCACCAAACGGTGCGGTAGTTGGAAGGGTGGTGTATTTGCTGGGGGTCCAATTCGTGGGAAATAGGCAGTTTTCGCTGTTGGAGGACCGGTAGCTGCCCGCAGGAGGTCGGGGAGGCCGGATCCTGAAAAGTTTTCGCTGTTGGAGGACCGGTAGCTGCCCGCAGGAGGTCGGGGAGGCCGGGTCCTCCCAATCAGTCTCCCAATCCCGCCGAGACTGCTTTGTATCTCTGTCGTCCGTTCCCCCCTTCCCCCCTGAGACCCGTCATACACTTTGCAGCTGCACCAATTTGCAGCTGCCAGCACTGTCACTGCATATGTGACGTTGTCGGCCTGAGAACACATCTGGGGTCAGTCTACCGTAACTGCTCCTTGTTCGCAGCCCGTCAGGGTTGCGTTTTACGCCCCTGAGACATTTTCGTCGTCGTTCGTTATACCGGTCGTTCATTCGGGCCCATTGGTCGTTCAAAGGCTGGCAAAATGAAAGGCACTGGCATTTAGAGGGGGGGGCGCA